TATTTTGTGTATTAGCAAATTTCCCTTGTGTTTGTGTGTTTGTGCTTTTTTTTCATTATTATAATGAGAAAGTCTATAATTCACAACCCGCCTGAGTGAATTAGATAAATCCTATATTTTCTCAGTAAATGGAAATATTTTTAATGAACTCAATAAATGAGAATATTTTCCACTAACTACGTGTCTTTGTGTCTTAGCTCATATTAACACAGAAGGTTTAATTTAGGATTTTGCACACAGCAGTACAATAACCACAGACTCTGGTCTGATTCATTTGCAGGGTATAAAACGGTAAAATCCACAGTTATTAACTCAAATTGTTTTAAAAATAAAAAAAATAATAATAAAATAAAACAAAACCGGCTTCGGGGATAAATTGTGAGCAAAAAATTGAAGACGAGGAGCGTAACTGAATATACTGTTTCCATGGCAACCAGACCTACTTATTCACAGAAGCAGTCTTTTGTTTTTTCTTCACCAGTGCAGAGAAAGGTTTGATAAATGAACACTGCAGCAAAGGCCGTGTTAGGTTAGCCGATCAGCATCAAGTTGGCCGTGCTTACTAACGGCAGATAAAAACTAAAACGCATGTGTGCAAACAAATTAGTTTGCTTTTTTAATTTTTTACAGATTAATATTAATTTTATTTATAAATATTAACACACAAATCTGAACTGGATAAGCAGAAGAGAAAGGATGGATGGGTGGAATTAACACTTATGCGTTATTGGGTCTTTCATCCAGAATGGGATGGTATCCTGTTATTGGTCAAACAAGAGGAAATAGAGTGTGGTGCAACAGTTTAGGTTAACAAATACCACAAATAGCTTTTAGAATAGAGAATTGAATAATCCTTTAATTGTCCCACAAGGGGAAATTTGGTTGTATCAGCAGCAAAAAAACCCCACACACATACAAAAAAGAACAGGACACAGAACAGAAAACACAATTTTTACATATTTACATCATGGACAATAGTTACCAGAGCAGAGCACAGTACAGTTGTTAAAATTAGCATACAGATAGTGTGCAAACAGAGCAGGATACTGAAAGATGTTTAAATAGTTAAGAATATTTAGAATAATTAGAAAAGTGCAGACTGTGTATTGTACCTGTGCATTCAAAAGTAGACATGTAACTTCCAATAAGTTAGTGTATATATAAGCTGAGAGAAGTAATGTGCAGTTATAACAGTAGAAGTTGTTACAGCACTGATGTAAACATCTGTGTTTGTTGGGAGTTGTTCTTTCTTTCTTTCTTTCTTTCTTTCTTTCTTTCTTTCTTTCTAAGTTTCACCGTACATCCATTACCATGACATACTGCATGACAAATTGGTTAGTGAAACTTTTATTAATAACACACGAACAACAACAGTAAAATGGTTAATTTGTTGTTGTTTTTTAAATACAGTTATGATTACACACACTCTCTCCCCACCTCCTTTACTTGAAACTTTAACTTTAACCTTTTTTCTCTATTCTGATGCTCGGTTTGAACTTTAGCAGCAACTTGACCATATCTATATGCCTGAATGCAAGGAAATCCTGCCATGTGATTGGCTGATTAGATATTTGTGTTAATGGGCAGTTAAACGGGTATTCCTAAGTGACTGGTATATTTCACACATTAGAAATTCTGTTAATAGGATGTTGTGTCAGGGTTTTATCTGTGCTCATGGAAGACAGAAATAGTTTTTAAAATGACTTAAGCGTGTCTATTTGTTACTTAATTACACTGTATTCTGAGCAGCATTTAAGCTTCTCAGTGCGACTTTGCAGTGCAACATTTTGCTGCTTGCGTGTGTCTGGTGCTTTTTGTTGGTGCCAGTGACAGTATGTGTGAGGCCTCCGGATACTAATGTGCTTTTGTGTCACTGCATCAATTAACTGTTCGAGCCTCTGAACTGTGAGCAGACAAAAGGGACACTGCCTCGTGTAATGAGGCATAAACATAACAAACATCAGTCCAAAGCCTTTGGCCAGTTCATTAAAAAGAGGGCCTGCAGCAGAGACATGGCTATTTGACCACCAGAGCTTTAGTCTGCAACAAAACTGATCTCATCAGAAGCGGAGTATGGGTTAGTCACTGTGAATATGAATGAATGAAAGTAGTAAAAATAAAATGGACAAAACCTCAGCAGGTAAAAAAAACTACTAACTTTACCTGCAGCAATAAATGATACATTTCTAAAATTCGAATAATTTTCAAAGCCTTGATGCGTTTAAAAAAAATCCATGAATTTACATGAACATTAGGGGAAAGTCTGCAAACTTTGTGAGCTAGAACTTCTTTAAAGTGCCACTGGGCAAAATATTCAAGGTCTTTTTGACAGTCAAGTATTTTTTAACATTCAAGCATTCAAAGAGAATTAGAAAAAGAAAGCACTAACAAACAAAACTGTGTTACTCGTAAAAGGCAAATGTGAGCTGTTTAAAGACAGCCATGTAAGATAATCAAGTCTTAATGGTGTTAATTGTCTTAAGCTTTGTCAGTGTGGCTTCCAGTTCGCCTTAAACTGCTTTCTCAAGTGCAGCTGAGTGCACCTTAAGTTGCTTTTTATAGCTGCCAGTTGCAGCTCAGAGGGGGCTCGACGCAGGCGCAGCTGCATCATCAGCATCAGCATCGGGCGACTGTTTCAGGTGTTGTTAATGAAATAAAAGCAAGTTTCTGAATTACGTCTTACAACATTTTTTGGTTTTGCATTTGTTAAGCTCAGCTAAGCTCAGAGTGTATTTATAGTTACGTGGAGCAAAAATATCCTCTACTGTCTTTTTTACAGGATTACACTCACAGACAGTCTGTGCAGTGTACAGAGTACACCTTGTTTTGTGTTCTCATTAAGAATATATTATTGCTGAATCTACAGATGTAAATTGCAAGCTGCTAGTGTGCAGTGAACCTGACAATGCAACAAAATTTAGCCTCTAAATGCCCTGAAGCATGGACAAAGACCACCATATGCAATATGATGCATTTGGCACTAATGGGCAAACCTGAAAGTGTCTGCTGCATCAATTTATTTGATATATGCAACAAAAATATGAACGATTCTCACTGCTGCAAGATCATATACCCGAGCCACAACCCTGTCAGTCAAACTGCTGCCTACTTCTTCCACAATCTGTATTTGCCTTCACGATTTTCTCTGTAATTTAAAATGACAAGTGTGGCAATAAGAACCTCCTACTTTCTGTAAATTTGAATCATATTCAAACTGAAAGGAGGAGCATTGTATCCAGAAATGTCCCCAAATTTCTAGTTTTTGAGTACTACAGGCAACTGTTGGAAGCAATAGTTTGCAAGTGTATTAAGAAGCAAATCTGTCACAAACTGCAACCTGTACATCCAAGAATCACCCCCACTCCCCCAACTCTATATGTATACTGTTAAGTTATTGAAATGACACAGTCTCAAATCCAGCCTCAAGGGGTCACAAGCTGGTATGCTCCCAGTGCCGGGAGTACAGGAAGGGCATCCAGCATAAAAATCTGTGCCAAATCACATGTGCAGATCCATCCACTGTGGTGACCCCTTAGACATGCTGTTTGCATGTTCTCCTGTTTCCATGTTGTTTCTCTCCAGTTGCCTCCCGGATGTGCCAAGTCTCTTGCGCTATGATAGCTGAGATGGGCTTCAGCTCCCCCATGAACCTGAGTTGGGTAAGCAGAAGAAAATGGATGGGTGGGTGGATGAACCACATGAAAAGCAGGGACTATTGTGGAGGCAGTTATCTTAAACACTTTGTTTCTTCCCAAATTTGATCTGCAGGGCTGGAATGCAGAAGGTAAGAACAAGTGCAGTGAAAAACCTGGAACCTCTCAGGTGATTCATGCTATGTACTAATCAGCAGTTCCCCGTTTGTCACTTTGTTCTTTGGTCTGGCATGAAGGCGTGACTCTTCACTCTGTGACCTGACGAGCTGGCAGCTTTCGTGGCTGCAACGAGATTGGAGCTCGTCCATGTGGGTCAGAGGTTTGTGGCCAAAGCTTTTTACAAGCAACACATTCATGTAAAAACTGGGACTTTTTCACTTAAATTAAGGTTTTTATGTATTAATATTCTGGACACATGCCAACACACATTTTTCTCAACCCTCAATTTGATTAAAGTTCCAAATTTGAAGAGCACATTTGAAAGGATTTGCACCTAATACAACACATACGATTAATATCAGTAAGAACAGAACAGGACAGGAAGCAGAGAAAGAGCAAAAGGAGTTTGGAATCAAATTGGCAGCCTGCATGTAAATGTCAAGATGTTGCTCTTCCTTGGTAGCCATGTTCTATATTGATCTATATTTGATGGGAGGAATTTTAAATTAGTAATAAGATTATGAGTCAGGCAAACAGGTTCAGGTTCACTTTCAGGTTCTGATTTACGATGGAAAGGCAACAGTCTGGCAGAGAGCAGGTGGAAGTGAGCAGTATAAGTACTGAGGGGGTGAGTGGAGATCAAGGATCAGCTGAGCAGATCAGGCAGTCTGTAAGTTGTTCACAACCCACCCAAGAAATCTACACAACAAAGACTCTGTCAGCGCTCGCACAGCAACCATGACCAGACCAAACATGACACTAAGAAAGAAATCAGCAGCAGTTGGAATAATAATTCAAATAATTTAGCTCTGCATTATTTTAAATAATAACAATGTTGCCAGTATACTACTGTTTCATACATACAGTTAATATAGTTCCTTTTAATCACATTCTTTTTGATGTTTGCGAGGTCGGTTTTGTCTTCATCTTGCTGTTACAGGTATTTTCTGGCCTTCATCAACATCAAAAAAGGGGAAAAAGCTTATAAGAATTTTTCAAGACCTCCAATAATAAGTGGTTATTTTTCATGCAGACATTTTCAGAGACTGTATGTTGCATATTGTGATTTATTTATGAAATTTGCCCCTTTTACACCTTTTTCATGCAACCTCATTCATTCTTTATTCTCATAATTATGTGTAGGAGAAAAATGCAAAAAGGGACTCCGGGCTTTTAAGTCATAATTTCAGCTCCTCTTTTTTATCATTTTAAGTGCTTCTTCTTTTCTCCGCTTGATGTTTCTTCTTCCTCATGACAAACATGTGCAAATTGCATAAGTGAGCCACCAGCAGATGCAAGAAGAAGCTCAACAGCAGGGTCTGGGGATTAGTCAGTTCGCATACACCGAGGATATAACAAAGCCTAACAGGTTTACAAGTTGTGTAACTGATGATTGAGATAAAGTGGCAGCTTTTATCTAACCACAGTCTAAATACCTGAAAGCCATCTGCCTCAGGTGTGCGTGCATTATATCACCGCCACGCCACTAAAATTTCATCTCTGTCTGCAAGTAAACTCATACAAGTAAACTTTACAAAGCAAATTACTGAGTGAAAGAAAGAAAGTGTATTTAATTTTGACTCATTTTAAAATTCTAGGTTTATAAACGCCATAAAAAAAGGGCCTTTTTATGGTGTTTCATGTATTTTGCATATTTTCATGATTATTTTTGCTTTTTTTAAATTTAGTTTTTAGGTTTACTTGGAGTCAACTTTTAAACGTGCTATTTAAATAAAAGTAACTTGAGCGTTTCAGCTCTGCATTGAGAATATGTACAAAGAAACAAAATCACACTATTATAAAATCTTCATGGAGTGTATACATGTAAATTATGAGCTAAATGTACTTTAGATTCATTTTGTACCATGAGAACATCACGTAAAATCTTTATGAACTCTGGTTTTCTTCACTTTATGCATCAGATTTGATCCAAACCCTAAAAGCCAGTGTGATTGTCACACATGTAACAAATGATGCTGTGAAAACTACAATATTCAGTATGTCTACTTCTGTCCTCTGGTGATCATGTGACCTGTTATTCCATTACACGTCTATAAAGAAGTGATGACAGATTGAGGACACAGGGCTCTTGCCAAGTGCCATGATAGCCTTTAATCGCTACAGGAGTATCCTGATCCTTATAGTCTAAAATGCGATTAACTTCTTTGATTTAATAACTGTACAAGAGAGGTTGTCGTATATTCAGTGATGGCAATTCAAAAATTATCTGGTGTAGCGGTTATAGTCATGCATTTGCAGATCTCCGAGCATTTTTCATCATGTTTTTGCTGACAAAGTCATCTCGAAATAGGAAAACACAGTGTCTGTGAAGGAAGTCTCAAGTTTTAATTTCTGCCTCTGTTTATAATGTAATCATTACTTCTGCTTTGTTTATTTGCAGCAGCGGCTATATGAGCGCCGGGGTCTGTAATTTTAACCTAAACTGCATCCTCTTAGAGTCTGTTGAACATTTTACACCAGTCCAAAAGGAATAAAAAATGTTCTCTTTATTCCGGTCTGTTCTTTTCCTGACTTTCTTTAGTTGTTTTTTTTTCTTTTTACCATCCTTCTTTCCTTTTCACATTCTCTGGCATGCTTTTGTGTCAGGAATGCTGTAAACACTGACTTTACTGACAAGCATATGGGTCTCTGTCGCAATGACTTAAAGATCATCGTGAAAATCCTGCTGGAAACATGAAGTCTTTGAGGATAATGATGAAATACGTTTCTGAATTCATGCAGATATAAAGATGTGATTAAAGCACAATAGATCGTGGCAAGTGAACTGATTTCAGAAGGTTTTTATATCAGTTCTTACATTAAATCTCCCAGAGCTGCACAACAATATGACTCTTACACTTCAGGCTATAGCACACAAGTTGGAGCGTTAGTCTTTTTGCATGCAGGATACAGAGAACCTGCTAATAACAGAAAGCGAGGAAGTACAAAAAACAAGAGGTTCAATTCTGAGTCTCACAATTCTTACTGCAAGTTAAAATTGAGGTTACAAACAGGGTACCTGCACATGCACGTCATACAAAGCAACTAACTTTATGTAACTGTAAAAAATAAACAGAAAATAAGGATGTGCAAAAGATGAGCATTGTACCCCATTATATTTAAAGAGGTAACCACAGTTTCCCCTTGTGCTGTCAGGACACCTTTCGTCACACTGTTGGCACACTAAATAATCGCACAGTGATTTGTGGGCTGTAATCTGAGGTGTTGCCTTTAGCTCTGAAGTGACAGAATAAGTATTTGTAAGAGGCTTTATTCTTACTTCTTCTTACAGTCGCATGCTCATGCTGCGAGTGTCATGTCGCTCGTGACGTATGGATTCGCGCTATTCTCTGAAGTCATCGGTCTTTACCGGTAACTGCTGCCCTGATTTGCAGTATTAGTCTTTCCCTGCTGATCTCGAGCTCCTGTGTAAACACACATCACATACACCAGCTCGAAAACAAGCAGAGACTTTCCACAGCGCACCTCAGTTTCAGACAATTTCAGAAATTTATCCACATCTGAGTCTAATAAGTTTCCATATTATTCAAGACTTTTTACGATTACTGGTGGAAGCCTGTCCACCACTCTGGTTCAGACTGAAACATCTCAACATTGTCAGATTAAATATTTTACAGACGTCACACAGTTCATGCCTACAGGACCTGCGAGCCTCTAACTTTACCTCTGATGCAGCAGCAGATCAAAATTTCATGTGTCTTGTGAAACATCTCACTAAAATACTCCAAAGAGAATTACATTAGACCTGTGGGGATAGGGTCTCACAAAGCTTTATGCTACTTTGTTAATATTTTCTGATTGTCTGATCTGACTTTTTGGGCATTTAGCTTTCAGCTTACATGTTTGATTCTTTGTTGCTTTTTTAAGATTAATTTTTGGCGCCTTAAACAGCAACTGTCTGACTAAATTTGAACTTTTAGAAAACGCTTTTAGGAGAACTCAAAGTTTCAGCAGGAATGTGTTGGGTTCCCAGTTAGAAGAAACCTTTTAGATTTAATATTTTTAGACTTAAATGTGTTCACGTAATATTGAAGCAAAAAGAGGAAGTTTATAGGGTTCAGCCTAAACCTGCCAAACTCTGTTCCTCAAGAGTTCATTGTATTTTGGGGTTTTGAGTTTTTTCCCCCCTCGCGGTCAACCAAACTGTAGCATTCATGCAATTTTTGGCAGATTTCTCTTTAGAGGAACAAAGCCACTTGTTGAAATGTCAAGCGTCATATAAATCGTGCTTTCTTTGTTTTGTTAGATAATAGCTTTGGTGCTGTTATGAATAAATCTGTCCGTCAGAAGTATTTTGATTTTGGTTTAACATCAAATGTGAAGCAGCATTTCTGAGGTTGGTTGAGCTGCTCTGGCAATGTGGGCCTTTTTGTTTTTTTAAGGTGACAAAACGCTTCATGTGTTTTTATGTATTTTGAATTTGAATTTGAGTTTTCAAATTTTGAATTTTAATGACAATCATCAAAGCACTTCCTTATTTAGTGCACCTACTTTGCTTCTCATGGATTAGTGGTGACTGGTTTCTTCATGCAGCAGAAGTACCCTTGTAGGATTTCCTTAACTTTCTAATGCTCTGTGAGTTTTAGAGATTATGACAAATCCTTGCTGTCTTTAAAGTGTGTTTTTAAAGTAACTTAAAAAAAAGAGTTACAATTAGAAAAGAAAATTTGTTCTTCTTTATATTACTGGTTAACAAAATGCCTGATTTCAGTGTTTTTCAAATACCCCCAAAAGTATGAGGCCAAAACTGCCGTCTTCATGATCCATTAACAAGTAGGAGTTGTGTCCCTCCTGTGGCGATTCATCCAAACTGCCGCCGGTTCTCTGAACCTCTCCTGCTCACACAGGCCTGCATACACACTATTTGCAGCCTCCCTGGTTAAATTATAAGCACTAACCAAACTGTTATATTTTCATACACACAGCAGGTGTAGATGATACTTACATGTGAAGGGTGGAGTGGTTAAAGGCTGCTGCTAAACACAGGTCAAGACACAAGAAAGGGTGATGTGGGTGATGTAGCACAAACGTCTCTCTCTCTCTCTCTCACACACACACACGCACACACACACACACACACACACACACACACACACACACACACACACACACACACACACACACACACCTTTCACTGAATGACACGTAACTCAAAAGCCACCCGCCAAACTTATCAGGAGCACCTGGCTGATTCCCATAAAACTTCCAATCACAACCCAGAGAAGTCACAGTGGCCACACTGGGCTGCCATGTGGCAACCATCAGAGACAGAGCAGAGGTGACAAAGCTCTTTTTAAAGAGTCAAACAGCTACAGGTTCTCCTACACTTTCCTTGGTTCGCTCCTTGATCACCCACCTCACCCGCGTGAGTTGAATCACCCAAAAACATGCCGGGCGCCCTGTTTCTCTGCCTCCTAGTGTCTTCTGTAATCGCTGCAGAAAAAGGTAAACTCTTTAAGAATTCTCTTGACTCTCTTTAGTTCTCGTCACTGCTCTAAATGTCAAATATTGCAATGGGAATGTCTTCCTCTAAGTTCATAACAGTGTTGCAGATTTACTGATGTCCTGTACACGTTTGAGCTACTCTTTCACAACTGTGCTCCAGACTAGAAGACCTGTGTGTTTTATGGATGGTTTACCCATTTAAAGAAAAAAATTAATAAATTCCCGTTTCCTAAAAAAACTTTCCAGCTCATTTTGGTGATTTCCTGACTTCCCAGTGATGGGGATCTCGCTTGTGAGAGAGAAAGGCGTCTACAGGGTGAAAGTAGTTAAAACTGGGACACTTTTTCACAAAATGTTAAGAAAGAATCATAACAATTACAGATACTCATGTATTTATCCTTGTATCCTTGTAAGTGTATCATATTTTAACAGTTTGGGTTAGTTTTTTGAGACTTTAGCATCATCACTCTGATTTCCCCTGAAAAAAAAAAAGTAAAACTGGCACGATACATTTTTAAGTATTACATTGAAAAAAACCTCAGATGTCGCAAATATGAGAAAAATTAAAACTCCTATATACAAAGTACTATTTCATTTATTTTATTTCATCAGAAGGTTCAATAACCTCTACATTTTAAAAAAACAACTTGACTTTTCTTGAATTATTTGATGATTTGGGGTTTAAAGGGTTAAATAATATGCTATGTCACTTCTCTAATTCTTTTGTGTGAGATGCCATCTTCTGGGTTAAACAGACCCTAAAAATAGCCCATCACTGAAAAGATCAGATCAAACTGTACAAAGTGTTGTTTCTTTGCATTTTAGTAACACATAAAATTGCATTTCATTGTAAACAAATAGGTCACATTCTATAGCAGTCAATAAATCCACAACGATTTATTGAATAGGTTAAACTTCAAATACAAAAATACTTTACAAAGTCTTTAGTAGAAGTAAAAGCATTATGATGAAGACTCAATTTATTATGTTTTGGGTTTTTTTCTCTGAGACTCAATTACTAAAATTCCTTATGCCTCCTAAAATCTAGCACAAAGCAAAATCAGTTTCCATCGACAAGACTCCTTTTTGGTGCCTCGTTTTTTTCTTATAATTCTCATGCAGACGCAGATTTATTGTTTCCAATTTGGAATATTGGTGGACTACCAATAAGAAGGAAAGTCCAGGACTTTCATTCTATACATTTTGATATCAGCCATTTATATTATTATGTATTAGCAGTGCTAGCAGCATGCCTTCAAGACTAGCAGTCGTGGTAGTGCCTTCAGCAGGTTAAAGGTCAACCACTATGGCCTTCGACAGTCCTACTAGAGATGACACAAGCCTGTAAGGACATTTTTCTTTATAGTATAAGCACTGACATCCTATATCGGGGGTCTCCAATTCCAGGCCTCGAGGGCCGGTGTCCTGCAGGTTTTAGATCTAACCGTGGGTCAACACACCTGAGTCACATGATTAGTTCGTTACCAGGCCTCTGGAGAACTTCAGGACATGTTGAGGAGGTCATTTAGCTATTTGAATCAGCTGTGTTGGATCAAGGACACATCTAAAACCTGCAGGACACCGGCCCTCGAGGCCTGGAATTGGAGACCCCTGTCCTATATACTGCATATGAATGTGTGTGTCACTAAGTGAGTGCAGACTTTGTTTCCTGGTCTTATTGAGACACTGAAAAAAAGGAAGTAAAATCTCTCTGCACAGTTGAGTGTTTAGTGTGTCTCCTGTCTTCCTGCCTTAGACAGCGCCCTTCCTGGACTGAATAACACCAAAGATGTTGAAGCCTTCATCGACTCTGCTGAAGTGGTGGTCATCGGATTCCTGGAGGTCAGACAAGAAAATTGCATGTGAATAAAAAAAGGTCTCAATCATAGACTCAGATAAGTTTGGGGATTTTTTTTAAAGCAAAGCCCACAGTAGCTGTTTTGCGGCTTAGTTTATTATGTTAACATGCATGTGGAAACCCAGACACGATGAGACAAATTAGCTGAGAGTGAGACGGCGAGGTCTCCAGAAATACAGCCTTTGTTTGCACCCCGGCCTCGGTGATGCTGCTGTCACGAATACGTTTTGAAAAAGGATCTGCTTCCCGTGGCCACACCTTTGGCAGTGCTGGTGCTGTGAGGACACAGGGTGGCTGGTTGTCCCACGGTGGCGAGCTCTTTGGCCAGACTTTGTGTGCGGGGGAAGATGGCAGACTTGACAGGAAATACATAGGCATCTGAAGATCTGTGGGATTGGCTCCATTGCTCCTCTCATAAACAAGTGCAGAGACGAGGGGAAGGTTCAAGAGAGGATAGTGGAGGAGAAAGACAGAGAGCACACAAGGATAGTTCATAGCCGGACCATGATGCTGAAGGCAATAAGAGACAAAAATATTGGTGCTGTGACTCACTGAGAATGAACACATATTACAGGCTGCGAAATGAGAAAACGGACTGCCAGAGCTCATGCAACAGACTCTCAGAAATAGACATGATTCACCTTCCTTTGAGTCAGCCTCATCTGTCTTTTCTCCCTGGCAGCTGCACTTTCCAAATTGTTGAGGGTTTCTCGTGTCCCCCTGGAGACACTGGTGTTCTCGCTCAAATTTTACATAAGATAGGACAAACAGTAACAAACAAATAGTGAGGGGGAGAAAAGGAAGGGAAAAAAATGAATTTACATGGTAAGTTATGAGAGGAGGTTGAAACGGTCTCCCTCTTTGTTCCAGGGAGAGGAGAGTTATGGCTATAAAGAACTGGTGGAGGCTGTGAAGCAAGTCAGCTCTGTCCCCGCAGCCATTTGCTCCGTGAAGGAGGTGTGGGCTGAGTACAACCTCTCCTCGGATGCCATCACTCTCTTCAGAAAAGTACTGCACATATTTTCAGTAATAAACGATGTACGATGTCTGTTTTCATGAATGCGATGGTGATGCTGTGTGTGATGCTTGCAGGCAGATAACCACCAGGAGAACATTGATCTTTCTGAGGCCAAGGACTTAAAAGCTGACGGTCTTGTAAACTTTATTTCTGTGAACGAGATCCGATACATCACAGAGTACAGCCAAGTGGTAGGTCCCACTCATGTCTTCTTCACGGTCCTCTCCTTCTGTCTAATATTATCTGTTAAGTTAACATTTCAAATACTTTTAATTAATTGAAAAATTAATGAATAAAAAGCAACGATCCATCACACAAAATCCCCGGAAAAAGGTGGATTGTTAGAATTTTATTTCTCACATTTTGAACCCCACTCTTTTCTATGTCCTCATCACTCTCTTTTCTCTTCTGTTCCTCTCAGACAGCAGTGGGTCTGTTCAATTCAGAGGTGAAGACACATCTCCTGCTCCTTGCCAACAGGGGGAGCAAAGATTTTGTTGAGCTCAAGGAGCGACTGGGAGCCCTGGCACCTGAGTACACAGGCAAAGTGAGAATATTCCTTAGTGTAATTCAGGTGTAGAAGAGCAGCTTTGAATAAATCTGAGTGCTATATGCATCGATCAGCTTCACACTGGAGTGTGGAAATAGAAAGGGCTCATGAGAATACAATAAGGTTTGGCTTTTTTTGCTTCAGTACATCATCATAGTGGATTGAAAATCAAACAATCCATAAGTGACTGAAGTGCAGACTTTCAGCCTTAATTAAAGAGGTTTAACAAAAAAAGTATCGACTGTTTAGGAATTACTTTCATTTTTAGAAATGAATTTTTTTTAATTCTCGCTTTAATTTCAAGGTAACTGGGTAAGCATAAGAGCATAACATGTTATCAAGTCAAACATGGCAATGTTATGGCATTATGGCTACTAATGGAACCGGCTTAGGTGTGCGTTGCTCATGCCAAGTCAGTCACCTGATCTGAATCCAATAGGCATTCCTGTTCAGTTACTGAAGACAGTGAGGTGTCTGCAGCTCATGGCAGGAATAAATATGAATTTATGAGGTTTAAATATCAATTTCCTGCCTTTAGGTGAGAGGCAGGTTACATCTTGGACAGGTCACCAATCTATCGCAGGGCTAACATATAGACAGACAACCATTCACACATGTGGTCAATTCAGAATCCCCTATTAGCCTAATCCCATACAGTGAGAGGAAACCAAACACAGGGAGAACATGCAAACACCACACAGGTGGGAACTTGGAAACTGCTTGTTGTGAGGCCTCAGTGCTAACCAACAGCTTTAATATAAAATCGTGTTCATTTGTCCAATTACTAAATCCTAAACAGTAAATGAAATACTTTTGTTAAACCTCTTAAGCTAAAGCTCAGAGTCTGCACTTCAGTCACATCTTGATTGTTTGGTTTAAAATGCGCTGTGGTGGAACACACACAAAACTGTGTGGCCTGTTTCTATACTAGTTGATCATTAGACTGCAAACCACGTGCATCCTTCATACAGCACTTTATTCTACATCCTTTTATCCATCTCACATCTACACTTACAGACCCTTTTTGAATAAGCAATTAAGCTGACACGCAAGACTTTGGACCAAGTAGAACTTATTCAATCTGGCCAACGAAAGTATAGACAGGGATACAAAATTCTTTAATTACATTCTGCCAAAAATCAAATAACTTGATCTAATCTAATTATGTAAAATGAACCGCCTGTGTTCCAGTTCTTGTTCGTGCTGCTTAATGGAGCGCTGAAGTCCAACTTAAAGCCACTCGAGTACTTTGGCCTCAAGCCGAAGGACCTCCCACGAGTTGGCATCTACGATGGTAACTCTGACACGAAGTGGCTTCTACCGGAAGGAGAAATTTCTACAGAGCGAGTGCGGGAGTTCTGTGAGTCTTTCTTACGAGGAGAACTGAAGGTGAGCAGCTGTTACTAAAGCTTAGTCGCTGCTCTTGACCGAACACATCTATGGTTGCGGTGTATACAAAATGATCATTCTCTTGAACAAACAGAGGTCAGTATCCTCCAGGAAAAATTGCAATTGCATTAGGCCACACTAGTAATGTACCATGAGCCATCTTCCATATATGAGCCACACAAAAGACAGGAAACCCCCCCCCCTCTGTGTATACCAGTTTGCTCTGTTACACCCCACAGAGCTCCAGCTGGCTGTGAGTTTCCACATCACTAAACTGTGGCATTAGAAATCTGAATTCAACTGACATCATATTCATTAAATGAATCAGCCCTAAAAAAAAAAAGAAGCAAAAATAACAGCAAAACACAAGAAAGCATAATCTGCTTAAAGGTTTAATCATAATAATCTTTTAGAGAGCACAATTGCTGATGAACCTATCGATGAGTTAATGCTTCTTTCTCTACTTCAGATTATAGTTGTTATAGTCTAATCCAAAATGTGTCATCAAAAGATGTATTAAGACAGAAAGAAAACCTGGCACTGCTATTTGCTTGCTTTTTATTTTGCGTTCAGTTTCTGGTGGGCTTTTTTTAAGCTCTCAGCTGCAGATATACTTTAAAAGGAAAAGCTTTGACTCTCATCTTCCTTTTATAAATGGTTCAATCACATATTTACTTGAATAAAGGAATCCATTTAGCTTATAAATATGTTGCTTCCCCCAGACGCTGTCTTCTAAAATGCTAAAAGATGAATACATTTATAATGTTCAGGATTAAATTACTTAAAAAAAACAAACAGATGTGGCCAGCGTAAATGAAAGTGCTCATAATGCATCTGTGTAGCTGCCATGATTGTAGTTTATTCATGAATTGCAAGACTTTGAACTTTCCTCTGAATAATGCTGAATTGATAAGCTGGCTTCTGTATTTCACTTATTGCACCTTTATTTATTTTTTTTTTTTCAGGGGATGAAAGAGGCTGAAGAAAAGCCTAAAACAGAGCTGTAGGACTCAAGATGAAAATGAGCTTCTTATTTACAAAATAAAATGAGTAAATTTGAATGAAAAAACTAGATTGATGTCTCTTTTCTCATAGGACTTATACCCTTTGAGCAGACAGGAAATTGTTTATATTTATGAGTGTCCATAAGTATATTATGTGTCCTTATTTATTTTCCAGTATTTGTTATGTTTTGCCTGTTTACACGAGTGTGAGTCCGTCTGCAGTCTGGTTAGTTGACCACAAGTCACTGGCCGCAAGTCGCAGTGATCTGGCGGAGTTTGTTAGTCTTGTCCACTAATGTTATTGTCAGAGCCACAACACACCAACCTCAGAGAGACTGACAGAAAGCATGCTGGGAAGATGTGGATGGAAGCACTGTAGTAAGTGGTAGTTTCTCGAATGATTCAGTCTGGGGAACAGTGTTCAAATAAAGTGAAAAACACCATCTGTACAATTTAAACTAACATGAAAATCACACACAGCCCTAAAGCGGGGCATCTAATTCAAGATTAACGTAAAGTTTCACTACAAGACATATCAGGATCTAAAAAACGGAGCATATTTAGCTACAGAGGCTGTAAAAGTTCTATAAAAGAACAACAGATGGGCTGTAGACATCAAGAGTGAAAAAGGTTTGGGCTGTTCCCAAAAATATTCTCTCAAGCAAGAAGGGAATTTCAAGGCCCAGACTGGGATCAGTATAATTAGTGGTGCTGCGCTGCCAAGCGGATACATCCGGCGGAATCGGGAAAGCCTGGCAGGTGAACATTTCTCCAAGACCAGATGGAATATACAGTATGTGTCCCCCGCCATCTGAGTTTGTTTACGGCTACAAGTGAGACGGCTGACAGATGAGGCAGTGTTACATAAAGTGCTGGGGGCGGACAGACATGACAGCGTTTTCATCAAAAGGGCAAATTGTAAGTTAAAGCCTCTGTAGGGTTCACGTTTCCTTACGTCTGATATTAAATATTGCTGCCCCTCTCGTGCTCTTCTTAAATAAACAAGATGTTGTATCACCAGAAATTAAAGTATGATTTTATTTGCATTTATTGTGTTTATATTACTGTCATTTTTAATCAAGGTTCCTTCTGTCATCACATCAAAATACAAAGAACACATGATTTAATACAGAATCGCATGGCCTCCTGTGGTTTACAGATGATTTTCTTAGAAATTCTGCTAAGGCTGTTTTTAAATTGAAACTTTGGCGGCTGTTAATTTTAATAATTTGGTAATTTAGTTCTGGATGCAGGTGGGACAAGCTGACGAACATTTGGAGAGTATGGGTATGGGAAGAAAAAAACACATAAATAATTCCATCATTTCCTCTTAAAAACAAGCAAAAACTGTTATTTGCTTTGTTTTCCTCAGAGCATAGAGTTTAAGTACATGTAGTTTCTGTTGCTCTTTACCTTATATGTCTTCAGTGCAGCAGACAGACTGCAGCCATGCCAACTGCAGATGTTCTGCTCAACAAAACTCACTCCCAACCAGTCGTGGCAGATGGCCGCCTGTCCATGAGCCTGGTTCTGCTTTAGGTTTCTTCCTGTTAAAAGGAGTTTTTCCTTTCCAATGTTGCCAAAGTGCTTGCTCCTAGGAGCTCCTATATGAGGAGCTCTTTTTTCTCGAATTATTGTAACATCTTTACAATATGAAGCACGTTGAGGCTACTGTTGTTGTGATAAAACTGAATTAATTTTAATTGAATGTGTCCTTCAGTGTGCACATTAAACATGTAGAAGTGTTTTCTTTCATTTGTGCTGTGTTTATTTGTAAAATTAGAAACAGTCTAATGTATTACTTTATGGATGGACTATTGTTATTCATTTTTATGTTCTTAAAGCTTCCTGAAATTTCAGTTCAATTCAATTTTATTTAAATAACACCAAATAATAACAACAGCCTTACAATAATACAGAGAGAACCCCAACAATTATTCAACCCCCAATGAGCAAGCACTAAGGCTACGTCCACACTCATTGTTAGTCCATTTAAAAATCTCGGTGCTTTTCCTCGACATTTTGCCGCAACGTTTCAACGAACCAGAAAGTAAATAAACGGCAGACAGAAATGAGACAGGCCGAATCTTCTTGCGTTTCATGCATGCGCAGTACTGGAACGTAAGCGTTTTGGGCCTTTTCAATGTGGATGCACAGCTCTGTAAAAACGACTGAAAACGCTAGTGTGGACGCGGAGCGTTTTCAGACGAAAACACCGTTTTCAAATCTATCCGGGCTAGTGTGGACGTAGCCTAAGTGACTGTGGGAAGGAAAATGTCCCTTTTTGCTGGAAGCAAACTCCGACAGGAAGAAGACAGGACAAAGGACACACTGTCCTTTGGGCAGGGATAGCTCAGTAGGTAGAGTGGTGGCCCCATGATCGGAAGGTCGGGGGTTCGATTCCCCTGAACAGCTACCCTGAGGTACCCCTGAGCAAGGTACCGTCCCTACACACTGCTCCCTGGGCGCCCAATGGCTGCCCACTGCTTCACTGAGTGAATGGGTTAAATGCAGAGAGCGATTTTCCCCACAGGGACCAATAAAGTATACTTTCTTCTTCTTCTGTGGGAGGGGGGCAGGTATTAATAATTACTAATGATTAAATACAGTGTGGTGTATAAATTGACTGAAAAAGAAATAGTCATGGGATCACCCCAGCAGCCTAAACCTATTACAGCATAACTAAGGGAGGATCAGGATACCCTGATCCAGCCCAAACTATGAGCTTTATCAAAAAGTAAAGTTTTAAACGTAATTTTAAAAGTAAAGAGGGTGGCTGTCTCCCACATCCAACCTGGGAGATGGTTTCACAGAAGAGGGGCCTGAAGACTCTGCCTCCCATTCCCAAAGGGAGTTTTTCCTTCCCACTGTTGGCAAATTTTTCTTACAACTGATTATATGATTATTGTGGTTTTCTCTCTAATATTACTGAATTGGTGCTTCATAAATATCACTGACCTGAGTTGAATCCACTGGATGTAGAAACTCTTAAAAAAAAAGAATATGACACCACCTATTTTACTGGTGATCATGGACAAGATAAGGCCACAGCTTCAGCTGCTTGATTCTGTAGTTTCCACTATTGTAGGTATTAGATTCATGAGCGAGCTCATGAGCTTGTGGGATTGATGGTACAAGCCTCAGGGCCATCTTTCATGACATCTGACATGTGAAGCAACAATCTCTTCCTCCTGCTGCGGAACCCAAACATGATCCTCTCTGTTCTCTGGCTCTCACGGTCCTGTTGGGCTAAACTAAGCAGTAACTTGGCTCTTACAGCCCAAAGCAAACCTCATAAATCTGCATCTAAAACTGGCCTCTCAGTAAGACAAGTCTCTAATAAGTAAGCAATAAGTATACTGTAGGTAACCATCTTTAGCCAAGTGTGTAACTGGTGTTCCCCAGTTTTTCAGAAAAAAGGCATAAAATGTCACATGATGCTGTTTGTTTATTCTTCTGAAAAGAAGTGGTAATGTATTTGACAGAAAACAAAAATTCTTTACTGCACATTTTTTGATTTGATTTTGATTTTATTGATTAGGATTCAAATATCTCAATGAATACAGAACAAAGATCTACCACAAAGCAAGAAAGCATGAGACAAGGCTAATCAAAAGGTACTGGCTGAAGCATTTGCTTATTACGCCAACCCTTTTAACAAAAGATCTTTTTGCATGCAGCTCCTGTACACAGGGCAGAAAGAAAAAGACTTTCCCTCCATATATTTATAGTGTGCAATGCTCTGAAACCACATCGATGTACTTTACAGATTTAGATTACTGTGTGTATGTGTGTTTACTGCTTGTATAACAAAACTTTTATTACTCCCTTACTTTGTGCGGCACACAAAAAAGCAAAAGCCACAAATGTTTTTCATTTTTATTATCAGTATGAAGTTGTAGCTTCATATGCTTATTAAATAGATGGTATGTGTGTGAGGTTGTGTAGTAGTAGTAGTGTGTGTGTGTGTGTGTGTGTGTGTGTGTGTGTGTGTGTGTGTGTGTGTGTGTGTGTGTGTAGTGGGGTGGTGGGGGGCAGCAGTTTAATATCGATGGTTTTTTTTAGGAAATGTGTTTTGCTGGCTTGATGAAAGGTTTTGTGGTAAGTGTGAAGACCCATCCATCCAATTTACAAAAATAGCCTTTATTTTGAAAGATGCAGATGGCATCTAAACATGCAGAAAAAATGTAGATAGCTATAATGTATTATTAGAGCTTCCTGCAGGAGAGCTCAACCTAATACATTTTTTTTGTTCTTCCTCCTGAATGCCACAAAAAACCTTCTGTTTGTCGAAACATGACGTCACACAAGTGTCTTGTGGTGGTTTGATGGATCAGGTGACGAAAAAGAGGACCGGCTTCAGCACCATACAGACCTCGTGTGCCAAAATGTGCAGTGAGGATGTGCTAGAAGTCCATGAGATGTCCAACACCGCTGCTGTGTTGGGTGAGGCTGATGTAGCTGACAGGCACCTTGAGATCAAACAGAGCCCTACTCTGGCAGTTGCTGAAGTTTCGTGATGCCATGAAATAAAAGCTCCATCCTCTGCACAACTCTTACAAATTTTTAGTCAGTGAAGGGGAAAGCATCTTCCCACCCACTCTGTATGCAGAGGGGGCAGACTGCTGTCAACCTTAACTGAGGATACAGTCAGGTGGTGGAAAAAATACTTTGAGGATCTCCTCAATCCCACTGGCACACCTTCCATAGAGGAAGCAGGGTATGGAGACAAGGGGTATGACTGTGGCTGGGGTCACTGAGTTTTATATAAACTCTGGTGACAGGGGCCCTAAGACCTAGAGTCCCTTTGCCCTTGGATTGGTGGTGGCCCCTATTTTTAAGAAGGTGCGTACAAAGTTCAGGGAGATCACACTTCTCACCCTCCCTTGGAAGCCCCAGCCTCCCCTTGTAGACATGAGAGAGGAGGTGTAAATTTAGTTTTTATTGCTAACAATAAATTAAACTCATTCATGATGGCAGTTGGACTACTACCTAGAAAAGAATTTCTAGGTGTAGCTGAGATGGATGTGGTCTCAGGATCTCATTTTGCACTGGGGCACTTTAC